CAGTGACATGCATAGTTGCTACTACTCTCTAGCCTAGACTAGGTCGATATGGTATGAGTAGTTCAGATAAATCACAAATTTAGACATAATGTCATCAACAGGCCACAGCTTGAATTATTGTAATAACATAATTATATACAAATATTACACTATGTCACTATCAACTGACTGTGGATTTAAGAATTAATAAATAATATATACTAATTTTAATTTTTTTTTGGAACTAATATTTACCTTTTGTTGAGTTGTAGCACATGTTGGGAAGATCAGTTGGAAAGCGAAAAGTGAGACCTTGCTTGGCTACAGAACACCACAAGGGTTGTAACAATTGGACCAGAGACATAGACAACAATCAGACAATGACGTGCACAGTTTTTACAGATGGGTCACCAGACTGGACGGGATTCACGACTCATCACGCCACTAACTCAACTCCTTTAGGTCACATACATTTGTACATCGGATCATCATCAGACGTCATTTATGCAAACCCCCAGAGCTCTGCATCAGTATGTTCCATTTGATAATTTACCAGGTAATCGTCAGATTTACAAAAACAGTATATTACTTTTAAGTTAAACCCCTACGTGTACATGTGATTCTAACAAATAACAAACATATGTATAAAGATATAAGGCAACTTTTTTCCAATCTTATGGTTTAGATGTAGATTTGTGTAATGATTATTTCTCAGTTTCTAAACTTAAATCCACAAAATATTCCTGAATGTGTTATTTTTATATGGGATGCCGCATCATTCCATTCGTTAGAAATAAGAAACAATTCTTAATTATAAGGTTACAATTATATATTATTATTATAATTATATATATATAAATATATTACATGTGAAACTTTTAAATGTTGTTTTGTATATTATCATATGATTTGTAACATATGATTTGTAATGCAGAACACTATTGACTAATGTAATAATATTATTTATCTTGATAATAATCTGAATATTCCAAATCAGATATGCATGTACTGCATGAATACAGATATTGCAATAAAGTACCACAAATATAAAGGACAAATTTATAGAGGTGAATACTTATTGATCACTATTTTAGGACAGACTGCAAATATTTCTGTTTGCCCAAACCCTATCAACCAGTCTCAGCTGTGTGGGAAATTTTTATTATTTTTTATTTTTATTTTTTTATATATTTAAGGGAAAATAGGGGCCAAAATGGTTTTATCTTGTAAACAACTTTTAAAATGAGACTATTATAGAGTTTTGTGTAAATTGTGTCAGACGCAGTAAGCGAGGATATATACATGTATGTATGGTTTGAATGGTTTTACACTAGTAATTTTGGGGCCCTATATAGTTTGTTGTTCGGTGTGAGCCAAGGCTCCTCGTTGAAGGCCGTACCTTGACCTATAATGGTTTACTTTTATAAATTGTTATTTGGATGGAGAGTTGTCTCATTGGCACTCATACCACATCTTCCTATATCTATGTACATGTAATATTAGCAAAACTAGTACAAATTAAGTAATTATTTACAGCTTGTCTTGCAGTCTGCTCCAAACCAGTTAAAAATCTTTAGTATTTAGGTGTCGACAACAGCTTTAATTAATATATATACTAGAATTTATTGTAATCTTCATCCCGGAAGATTCTAGGAGTTGCTCAAGCATATGAGTATCGTACTCTGTACGTTTAGGTGCCAAGCTTTGTTAATTTAGGCTGGAAGCATTATGACGAGCAATTTCATTTACATAAAACCATTGGCCCTACTGGTTCCTAGGCTACAGTTGATTCCAAATTATGGTTGAAATTTATAAATGAAAATTATAGTACAGGTTGAACTTCAGTTAACATGAACACTGGGACTAATTTGAAATGTTATGCTTTTAATTACGTGGGTACCTAGATGTTGTTAAGCAGCTTGTTTGTTTTTTGTTGTTGTTTTTTTTTTTTTTTTTTTGTGTGATGCAGGTCATCCTATTATAACTTGTCGGTTGTCATAACAGGAGCATTTACCATGTTTACTTTGCATAATCTAGGCCTTCTTATGATAATCCAAGTTTCAGGTCACCTAGACCTCAAATGGAAATAAGTTTTCATTTGGGCAACCTAGTTCAAACCCAAGACGAGACAGAGAGTGGTTGCTGCTGTTATACTAAATGTTTGTTTCTTCTTACATGGATTTAGACTCTAGTATACAGGTCCTCATAGTCATTCTTTAAAAAATGCATTTGCCTGAGTTGATCCAGTTATTCTTGTCTTGTTTTATGGGCAGTTTATTACATTATAAGAAATTCACTTCAACATAGACATCTTACACATTCAGGTATTTCCCATCCTTTTATGGTTATATTCTTTACAAAGCACAAAATGTCAGGTTTACCTCAAAAGCTAACAAAACATTAAAGCAAACTTATGAAGAAGGAAAACTGTTGCCTGCAAAAAAAAAAAAAAAAAAAATTGGCATTTTTGGCTTTAATATTGATTCACTTGCACAGTCTTTGCATCGGACATAAACTCATTTATTCTTAAACCAGTTGCTGGTATGATGCGGGTTATGTTCCTCTAATATATTTTATGATGGTATGATACTAAACCCCCAATGGAGGGATGGTGTTAGATATTTCATATAATGAAGACATAATCTTTATATAGCTATAATGTTTGGATAGTAGAATCCTCAATAGTAAGTATGTTTTTGTAGCAGACCGACATCCTCCAGGTGGGGTTGACTTAGGTCTAGGCATTGAAATGAATCTTTGTGGTGGCATGATTGTCAAGCATGTTAAAAGTCAACTCAGAACAATGAAACTATGAGGATCCACCATATTTCTTAATAAAACATGTAGCAGGTAATGACACAGGTAGTTCTAGAGTGGGATTTTTGCACAATGAGATGAAGAACATGATCAGATGGATTATGCGGTTCATCAATTCTTAAGTAGTATGGTCTCAAATTTGACCAGGTTATTGCAAAGCATGGACTTGTGTTGCTATAGATCTAGAATATACAACTATATTATTGCCTTTATAATTAGCTGTCAGGGTTGCTACTTACAATATCATGATTTTCGATCAGATCAGAAATTTTTCAACTTGATGGTTCTCTCTTGTCACCCTTAACCAACATGCTTATGAAATGAATTGTTAAACATCTTGAATATTTATTTAATAATATACTATAATATACTATATTTTATGATATGCAAATACAATCAATTATCTTATGGTTTGGTGTAGTTTTGGTTAGTATTTTTATCTGTGTAGGTAAATATGTTTTTGAACAGTTGTTCACAAAACACCATATTGATTATTTAACATATATATGTACCAAGTTGTACTTTAAATAAAATATCTATCTATCTATCTATAGTTATCTGGTTCACAGCTTTGCAGCGAACCGCCCTTTTTATGGCGGTTGACAGAGTCTCTGTTTTCCTCCGTCAATGTGGCAGAATTCGCTGCATAGAATCTTAATGTTAACTATGAAATTTTAGGTTTTTGGATAATACAGACTACACTTGTGTATCCCACGGTGTTTTCTAAATTTAAAGCACCAGTGTATCCCACGGTGCATCTTTACATTTTCATATATATCTATCTATCTATCTGCAAGTTTGCCATATTATCTTCGGGTAACCAACCATATATCTATCTACATCTACATATACATCTATCTATCTATATATATATATATATCATATGAATCTATATTATGAATAAAAGCTGTGGCCAGATATCGCCAAACCATATATGTATTTTGTTTTAATGGCACCATCTGAGATAACTGACCTATGTACCACATGGTAAGCATTGTGTTCTATGTTGTTTACTTGTAATGTCTGTGCTGTCTATGTTTTATTTAAGTAATTATCTGTTTATGTAAAGTGTAGTTTGTGTGATATATTCATGTTTGTCATAATTTGTATACTTTGTGTACAAATCTATTTATAAAATGGACAACTCATTAAGAGATTTGAGATGTATATAATTATTTATTATTATGAGATACATATGAATATTGTATTGGAAAGTTAACTAAAAAGTTAGATTTTTGTGCTTAAAGGGCTTATTTGAGTATATAGATATTTAAAGGAATAAGTATGAATTGTAGGTATTCCCCTTTGCCCATATGTTACATGTACTGTCTTTTAATGTGAATATTTATTATTTGTTGTTATATGTTTTAGGGTCTAAATATTGTGTAATAAAAAGGAAAGAACCCTAACGTCATCGTCTGTTGTATTTACCAAGAAAATACCCCGTTACATTAGTTACTATGTTATCAGTTAAAACAGACATATCGATAAAAGACGTTACCTTTAAATCTTGGTATTCAAGTAACTAAGTAGCCCAACAGTGGTTTGTACATAAACCAATTTTAAACTTGTCTCGAGAAATGATACACCACATCATTTCTGTTTCATTATATTACATAGTTCTTCTCTCCGAATGCGTGGAAGCCGTGATAACTTTCCACGTGCTTGAGATATATGATCATCTATTTTTACAGTTATGCCGTATTTATTCTTCAGATCACTTCTATTATGTGTGATATTGACATCATCACATTATATTTTGTTTCCCCGCTCAAAACAACGTGAGAGGTCGTCTTAGATTTGCATTGCGATGAGCGTTGTTGGTCGATGCTGAAAGCTTCACTTAAATTAAGGTTTAATCTGAGGAGTCATACTGTATCTCTGTATTCATATATTTGCCTCAATCTTAAGGGCGTACATGTTACTTTGAGGTATAGAACAGCAATAAAAGCGCAAATTATTTGGGTTTTTTCTATTCTTTTTTGTTTTTGTTTTTGTTTTTTTTTCTTTTCTTTGTTTTTGCTTTTGTTTTTCATGTTTGCGTAATGATTGTGTGTCTGCAATCAGGCTTACTAAAACTATGACAAAGAGTTTAGTTAATCAAGACTTGGGGCTCATTTTCACATCTCTGTTACATGGATACATTGTTTTTAGTTTGCCAATAAAAATACGGTAAATATTCTTTATAATAAAAGCCAAAGAAGTATCATAGCAAAATTTAAAATACGGTAAATATTGATTTATTGCATAGCAAATTTGTAAAATACATAGGACAGTCTAATTTAAGAAAAAGTCCAAGGACCACTAGGCCTACCAATAATCAATATATAATTTGAATATTAACAAAAAAAATATATGTGCAACTTTTTACCATACATGAAAAGTGTCAAGAATTGATATTTTCCTGGGGGAGCTTTAAAAACTGAAAAAAAACCAATTGACAGTCTTATTTATTACATTCAAATCATTCAGCGCCGTATAAAGACCAGACTAAAAGTAAGTTGCCATGATAAGACTTAAACATTAACTTTTTTTTTATTACAATCGATATAGTAAGAAACTATAATACAATATAATTTGAACACATAGTATTCAATATCGTTGTCACCTGAAACACATTCCGATGACATCCCCCTGTTACTTACACTATTTTATTTATCAAATTTAAAGAGGACAAAGCTGTTACGCTGTTATTGTTTAAATTCAATTATTAATTTTGATCAAAGCTGTGTCTTTAGGGATAACACAAGTATGTTGCGATGAAGCAGGCGGATATCTATGACACTGTAGTTTAGCAGGCCATCGGAGACCACCATACAACTTTCTATACGTCGCCTCACATTGACCTCGAACTTCCTCGCATAGTTCCCGGCAAGGCAGAGTAAACGGGTTGCTGGCGATGCAATACGGCCTAAATACTCCACAAATCAAAAACCACAGATCATCATGACACTGTGAGTCAGCTAGTCTCTGATATTGTTCAAGTTCCTTCAAGATTTCTGTTTCCCGGCTTTGATGAAACATGTTTGGTAAGGTACCGATATCAAAGGTCAAATTCTGGCACATTGGAAAGGTATTCTTCTGACAATAAGCGTATATAGGTCGCCTTTTTTTCTTCAGTCTAGGGTATGGCTTCAAACATTTCTTTTGCTTCTTTCGTTTGAGTCCTTTGCATTTTAGTTTTCTGGGCCATTTCATTCCGAGACTTTTCATATCTTTACTACATGCTTTCTTGGAATAAAAGCAAGTTTCTTTACATGGCAATTCTATTTTTGTTGTATTTCCTTTAGTGGTACATTTTGGTACTGTAAGTCCACAAGCAAACAATCTCAAATTGTTAGAACACCCTCTGTCCATAAAAGGCCAAATCGGTTCCAGAAACCTAAAATAAAGCATTAAAGGATACGGGTAGTATACAATAAACAATTAGCCTAGAGGAAAATGGATTGTAGAGAAAAACTATTGTACCTCATATCTTGACTTAAATCTAGAAATTGACAATGATGGTCGGTTGAAACAAAACTTTACGACAAAATAGATGATTTTAGCTTCCAAATTGTGAACTCCAATTTTCTATGTTGTACATTCCAGCAGCACCTACATACGGAGTATATATCTCCCAGTTGATACGATATTCCAGGGCTTGTATCTACTATCATGGTTTCCTTGATAAAGGATTGCTGCTCACAGGAAAGCTATTAAACCAAGAGTTCTAAGTGGTGAAGTTGAAATCGCGCCATAACGAGTTGGTTGACCGTTATGGAATATCCGTTTCACAGATGACAACGACTATGTTCCAATTGTCGTAACTACAATCCCGTCTTCTTTTCCCCATGTGACCTACCGAATTAGACTTATCACCGGGTTTGTAACAACATGAGCAACACAACGGGTACCACATGTGGAGCAGGATTACCCTTCCGGCGCACCTGAGATCACCCACAGTTTTTGGTGATTTTCGTGTTGCTCAGTCTTTAGTTTTCTATGTTGTGTTTTGTGTACTGTTGTTTGATGGTCTTTTTCTTTTTAGCCATGGCGTTGTCAGTTTATTTTCGACTTGTGAGTTTGAATGTCCTGCTGGTATCCTCTCCTCTCTTTAAATAATAAATGTTTTTTTATATAAAAAGTTCATCAAATACAACATCATAAACAAGTTAAACTGAAATAAATATCTGAAGTTTTTACAAATTTGGTTTTCTGTCGTTAAGCTATTCATAAGTTATGTACAATAGAAAAGAACATCTATCTACTTGATTTGAAATAATTGTCCTCGCTTTATATATGAACCATTTCCTTTTACTACTTTACTATTGAAATTCAATGATAAAATTAGCGCACCTACCAAGCATTTAGAGATATTGTAATAAAGCCTTGAAACATTGTCAAGAAAATGAGAAAAATAAATTCTTTATGTAATCTATATTAATTGTTTACCTGTAAACTTGTCTTTGGTGTTTATGACCTAAACGATTTGGCAACTGTGTATGAGTATATCCGATAAGACCACGACACATTGGAACCATAATTTCTTCACAGGAATCATCAGCGGCACCAGATTTAAAAACAAACAATAACAATGTTAGTAGGATTGCCGTTAACGCCATTTTGATGAACCTTTGTGAAAGAAGAATCTGTTATATGCTAAATATCTGTTTATATCTAAAGTGGCTCTTAAGAGGTTAAATCGGAAATGAATAAAATTATGATAGCCTCTTAAAGGTCCAAATTACATGACATAATTTTTGTGTACTAAAACACCTCTTGACAATCAAATTTACTTTGGTATTAATATGACTACATACATTTTTCTTACCGCAGTGATGTTGTCTAGACACATACGAGATAATAGTAGGCCACTTCATGATCTTTTAGTTAGAAAATACTTGCTTCTACATGATAATAAGAAAAGATGTTATGAAGAACTTACTGTGAAAGTAACTCCCCTCCCCTTTTAAAAAACCCAACTATAACAAAAATAACAATACAACTAAACAAAAGGGAACAAATACAAGACTTCATACCGATGAGGACAATTATATGTTTGTCAATTTTCATATGCTATTATATGTAGTCTTCGTTTTAACAGGAATTTTTAAACAAGTATGTATATTACGATTTTATCTTCCTGAAAATATATGTTCCTGTATGTGGAGGCATTCGAAAGGCTGACACATAGTTAGCTGTCTATAAAAGATTTCAGATGGATGACACATCAGTTATAAGAAAACAGAAAAACATGTTGCATTGGTTGAGTTTTCAACAGATATATTGACGTATTGTAATTTTACAACACGGGGGAACTAGCGGTAGATTTGAATAAATAAGAAAATCACAGGTTGTACTTTCAATGTTCTATTGTTGAATCCAAACTAAATCAATACAATTACATAAAACAAAGTTACATATGGAAGTCCATAAAACAACAACAACGGCACAGTCCGCTAGAAAGTCCTTAAATGTAGCAATACGGGGTCCGTATTCTATCGTTCGGAAATCCTCACTGACTGTATTTTCTTAATGTCTCTTTTTATAACAAATGTTGAATTGCTCGAATATAAAATGACACTAATTAATATACATTTGACAAATTTGGTCTATTCACAAGTACTAATTAAGCTTAATCCGTTATCTCAAAATGACATTGACTCTTTAAGTTCTATTTTACTAATTGAACTTCAAGTAGATTACGACATATGGATTTGAGAAAGATTATAACAACAAAAAACAGTATTGAAAAATTATGAAATAAAGTCACAGAAATTTACACCATGACAACTGGTACGAACTAAGACAGAAACATTTACGAAGGACTCCCTGAAGTAAAAGAAATCTAAAGGAATAAGCAATATTGTTTTCTGCATTACAGGTTCCAATCATTACCACTACCAGCAATCCCTATTGATGGGATACCAGCAATCCCTATTGATGGGATACCCTATTGATGGGATACCCTATTGATGGGATACCAATACATTTTTAAATGGGTTCTTGCTTTTTATGGGTTGTTTGTTAGGAATGTTTATACATTACTGAGTTCGAACACTGTTTTTGAAAAAAAAATTACCCACACTTTGTAAAGATCTGTTGAATCTTTCATTATTATGGTTATACTAACTGGATAAATATTCATATCGCACAAACGTTCATTATACATGTAAATGCCTCTTGAGTTTGATACTTCCGTCACTACTTGAACTGCTTTTGATTATAAACATAATAATATAAACTAGTTCAAACAGCGGTCAACTAGTGAGACATTCAAACGTACTGTCTCAATTCAAATGAGAAGATTTATCGGTCATAGAGTGAGACATTCAAACAGCAGAAAAATTTGAATGCAGGGTCAAAATGTCCTTGCTACTGCAGGAAGCTAACAAAGGTAGCTTCGGCTGCTAATTGCATTTTTGTCCGTATTTTGTTTGTATTAAATAAGGAAATGTGGTATGATTGCCAACGAGACAGCTATCTAACATATTCCAAATGACTGTAAAAAGATATGATATTTTAAAAGTAATGAGAATGAACTGAAACTAATCATAAAGATGTTCATAGGAGAAATATAAATATTTATGTTGTTTCCAAAGACAAATTGTCAGAGTTATCAATGTGTTCAACAAAAGAATTGTTTTTATTACTTACTAGTAAACATTTTCAGTATCCTGTTTGCAATAAAAAGTGGACTGAAGTTTTTGAGATTCAAGATCATGAACTTTGTAAAGTGTGGAATAATGTCATTTTTACTGAAAACCATCTTTACTAATAGATCTTGATTTCAAAATAGCACATCATTGTATGTTTACTAATTCTAAACTAATGACTATGAAACTTATTAATTACAATGTATGTGATGTATGTGAAAGGGAAATAGAAAAAATAAAATAACAAAAATACCGAACTCCAAGGAAAATTCAAAACGGAAAGTCCTTTATCAAATGGCAAAATCAAAAGCTCTAATACATCAAACAACTGTCATATTCCTGACTTGGTACAGGCATTTCAAATATCAATCATTTATTTTTATTTTAAGCTCTGAATTACTCGAATTTCATACGTGTGTGCAACATGTTTGGTTTAGATGGATCTTTCAAGGGTGTAAATGTTAAATTTTGTCAATATCATGTCATAATAAATAGAGACAGAATATTATATAAAATATTATATAGTGCGTTTACTGCAGATCAAGAATTATCTGAAGAAAACTCCAAATGCTGGTTTTCTACCCCAAATAAAATTCCAAAGTACTTAGCCTTGATACCAAAGATTTGACAGATAATAGTGTTTTTAAAAATAGTCTAATAAGATATTATAATCAGCAATCTGACTCACAACTACAAAAAAATCTAATTTGGGGCTTTGGACAGTAAACTGATGCTTTTCAGTAATATATTTGTTCCAAATTTTGTTCCCTTCTATCTGGAAACCAATCTTACCAAAAATATAAAAAGTAAAATTACACAACTACGTATCAGTGCTTATTGTTTAAATAAAGAACGGGGTAGATATAATAAACCCAAAATTCAAAGAGAAGAACGTTTTTGCTAATTCTGCACTGAAGTAGAAACAGAAGAACATTTTATGATATCTTGTCATAATTTGTCATAATTTGTCTGCCCTTGGTAATGGTGGCTGGAAAAATTTAAGCTCCTGTTGTTTACAAAGTATTTGAGTTTAAAATTTATACTTTGACTATAATACGAATTTGATATAAAGTATAATGCATTGGAGTAGACTCGGTTACACAAATCCTGAGTTAATAGAGGTGGCTGATCTGCTTAGAACAAATTTCGCCACAGAATACGTAAAAGAAGTAATGGCGGTAAACCCCCTTAGACCCGTACATGATAAAATTGAACACGAGGAGCAATGTATACACATTACTGCTACACAAGCATAAGTGCACCATAAAAGCATTGACCATACTCCCCGTAAAAGACAACTATCTGAAAATGATGATGAGATTGACACTCTTCGTAAAAAAAGTCGAGGTGAAAATGACCCCCCTCTTGAAACACACAGAGACAATATTCTAATCAGCATGATAAGCAAATTATCAGACAGCTTAAACAACGTTGTATTCAGATTAGAGAAAAGAATTACTGACATTGAGAGTCGTAAAAAGAAAATTAAGAGCAAAATTGAACACGGTAATAACAGACAGAGTGAAAGGGGATGTAAGCAAAGTCAGGGACGAAGTACGTTCTGAAATAGATTCATTAAAGGACAACTTTAAAAAAACTTGATAAATCATATGCAGAAATTATATCAAATAATAGAAATACTAAGGACAAAGATTAGAGCTCACAGACTCATAATATTGTAACAAAGAATCTAGCAGTTGATCCCAGAGAAAATGCATGTGACTTCGGCGCAGTGTTAAAAGCGAAAGTAGAAACCTTGATCAAGGACGGGCTAAAACTGACAAATGTAAATATAAATAAGTCAGTTCGAAAGGTGAGTCTGCATAGGGATATGGAAATTTACAAGAAAACCTGATATAATTTTTGTAGAAGTTGACAATCTAGACAATAAAAGGGCGATACTAAAAGCAAAAGCAGTGTTAAGAAACTCTAATAAACACAGAGATGTATATATAGAAAACAATATACCTCGTGAAAAAAGAATGTTAGATTTTAATAACAGAACTATACACCGTGCAATAGGTAAGGACAAAGAATATAGAACAGTCGGAGGAAAAATCACTCCTCTACAAAACCAAACTCCACCAAAATATAGAGACGACTCAATGCGAACACAGCATAATGACAATTAAAAAGGTAATAGTGGATCTTTTCATGGAAATACCAACAAAAGAGGTATGAATAATGGATATGAAAGAGGACATATACGAAGACGAGGTGGTTTCCATAGCAATAACCGACCTTATAAGTACACATGTGGGTTTTGGAACATCAATGGATGGACTCGCTATATTAACAATGAAAAAAATATTTAAATTGAAGAATGTATCAATGAACTTGATTTACATATAATCGGCATAGCCGAAACGCACTTGATAAATGACAATGATATATGTATGAATAATTATATATGGCTCGGAAACAACCGCAAACAGATACATGTACGTGCAAAAACCAGTTCGGGAGGAGTAGGCATCTTAATCAAAAAGGAACTATTAAAGTTGCTTAAAGTAACAATAGAAAATGACTCGGAGGATGGAATTTTATGGGTATAGACCAACTAATTGAGCGTAATATTACCGATTTTACAGCCAACAGCTATGGTGAAATATTTTGTTAATTTTTATCAACTGTGAATTGTTGTGTTTTAAATGGGCGATATCCTAACCATGATGATTTCACATATGTTTCTACTAAAGGATCATCAGTTGTCGATTACTGTGTTGTTCCATATGAAAGTTTGTGTCATTATAAAAATTTCAAAGTTATAAGAGCAAGTGTTTTATGTAATAAAAGTGCACGGCCAGGTTCTTTTAGTCCAAATCATATACCTGATCATTCTGTATTATGTTGGGAATTTAAAACCAATGTTGATATGATAAATGAAATTAATTCTAATAATTTATCACATAATGCTCACAATAATATGAGCCAACAAAAGAATACATATGTTTCATATGATGTGAAAAATATCCCAAATGATTGGATGGCAAATAAAGATATATTGAATAAAATTAATATGTGTAT